AGAGCAAGTGGCTCAATTCCATGCGCCTTCGTCGCCAAAGCCCTAAAGTAGTGTTTCGGTTTAGGGTTTTTTGGTTTAGGGTTTAGGGTTTTTTGGTTTAGGGTTAGGGTTTGGGTTTTTGGTTTAGGGTTAGGATTTAGGTTTTTTTGGTTTAGGGCTAGGGTTTAGGTTTGTTTGGTCTAGGGTCGGGTTTTTGGTTTAGGGTTTTTTTGGTTTAGGGTTAGGGTTTAGGGTTTAGGGTTTAGGTTTTCCTCAAATAGAAGTAGGGCCGCTTTGTTGCTAGTTTCCTCCATTAGAGGACCCCATGTGAACAACCCATATACACTCACCGATAACGCTCCTAACCGGCGTTTCGTGTTTGGGGTCTCGGGTTTGGGTACCCTAAACCCGATAATCTAAACCTTGGTAGCCCAAACCCGATAACCTAAACCTTGATAGCCCAGTGGTACCCTTTAACCTTTTCTGGGTTCTGGGGTTCCTTTACAAAGTAGCTAAGCAAAAAAAAGGATACAGTGTCTATAAGATGGTTCCTGCGCTACCACGAAATCGTAAACCTTAAAACCTAAACCTTAAACCCTAAACCCTAAACCCGAAACCCTAAACCCTAAACCCCCAAGCCGCTTAGAAGCAAGTTGTACAGGCTCGCAGGTGGCCCACCAGCGCTGTTTAGCACTCTCCCCGAGTTTGGCGATCGCCATGTCGGAAGCGCCGAAGCCGCTGAAGGTGGCTCTGGGTTTAGGGTTTAGGGTTTAGGGTTTAGGGTTTGGGGTTTAGGGTTTAGGGTTTAGGGTTCAGGGTCCAGGGTTCAGGGTTTAGGTCTTAGGGCGCCCGGGCTTGTGAAGCCGGTTGGTTCGATCGTTTAGGGTTTAGGGTTTAGGGTTTAGGGTTTAGGGTTTAGGGTCTAGGGTTTAGGGTCTAGGGTTTAGGGTTTAGGGTTTAGGGTTTAGGGGCGTCAAGCCAGGGGGCCTTAGACCCTTGGGTTGAGGGTTGAGGGCTAAGAGTTTCATATAGGGCTCTGGCTTTCTCAGGGTTTCGGGTTTAGGGTTTAGGGTTTGGGGTTTAGGGTTTAGGGTTTAGGGTTTAGGGTCTAGTAGTTAAATTTAGGTTGTGGGTGCAATTGCTGGGCGTGAGAAGCCTACATCTAAGATCTAATTCGGGCTTTCGGGGCTTACAAGGGCTTTGTCGCTGTTGACGGCTTAATAGGGTTCTGCACGGTTCAGGGATCACGGGGCTGGGAGGGTTTGGTAGAGTTCCGGGCTGAGGGCCCGAACCTTTAAATCCTAACAGCCCCAAATCCTGTCCTGATCCTGCCCCTAGGTAGGCTCTTGGGTTTAGGGTTTAGGCTTTACGCTTTAGGCTTTAGGCTTTAGGGTTTGGGGTTTAGGGTTTAGGGTTTAGGGTTTAGGGATTTCATATTTCCTCTCTGGGCTTAGGAGGATCATCTTCAGGATTTTTTGCTCAGGGGGTTTTAGGGGCCATCCCAGTGCAGTACGGCAGAGGTTGGTCTGATCCGATTCTGTTCGCATTAAACCCTAAGCCCTAAGCCCTAAGCCCTAAACCCTAAGCCCTAAACCCTAAACCCTAAACCCTGTAAAACTTGTGATGTTCCCCCTTGTACTTACAGTCCTTAATGTGGATTGGGATGGGGGCGGGGGTGTACTAGACTCCCTGCCAAGGGCTTAGAAAAGGAGGAACATCCCAACTATTCAGCCCTACCACCCCCACAGCCCATGCCGTAGGTGGCCGTGATTGGGGCCGGTTTGGGCGGGCTGGTTTTGGCCAAGACGATCCTGTCCGAAGGACCCGGCAACCTCCAGGCAGGGCCTTGAGGGCTTATAGGGATTTAGGGTTTAGGGTTTAGGGATTTGGGGTTTAGGGTTTAGGGATTTCGGGTTTAGGGTGTAGGGTGTAGGGTTTAGGGATGCCCAAAACCCTAAACCCTAAGCCCACCCCAAGCCTTAAGCCCTGAAGACCGTGAACCCCTTCAAACTGAACAATAAACCCCTAAAACCCTAAACCGCCCCTGCATCCCAAAACCGGGGTTGTCGAGCAAGCAACCGTAAGCAAGCCTCGCGCCTGACGCTGGAGACATGCTTTGCACGTGCCGCGCTGCAACTCTGTTCACCCTAAACCCTAAGCCCTAAGCTCTAAGCCCATACAACCCTAAGCCCTAAGGCCTGAACCCCAAGCCCTAAGCCCTAAGCCCTAAGCCCTAAGCCCCAAGCCCCAAGCCCCAAGCCCTAAGCCCTAAGCCCTGAGCCCTAAGCCCTAAGCCCTAAGCCCTGAGCCCTGAGCCCTAAGCCCTAAGCCCTAAGCCCTAAGCCCTGAGCCCTGAGCCCTAAGCCCTAAGCCCTGAGCCCTAAGCCCGAAGCCCTAAGCCCTAAGCCCTAAGCCCTAAGCCCTAAGCCCTCAGCCCTGAGCCCTGAGCCCTGAGCCCTGAGCCCTAAGCCCTAAGCCCTAAGCCCTAAGCCCTAAGCCCCAAAAAAGGGGCGGAAGGGTATGTGTGGGCTCCCAGGATGAAACCTTCAGCCCTGTCGAGCCCCCAAGCCTGGCTACACCCCAACACCTCAACCCTGCTGAACCCTAAACCTACTAGGGTTTAGGGTTTAGGGTTTAGGGTTTAGGGTTTAGGGTTTAGGGTTTAGGGCATTTGCTCAAGAGCCTCCCCCCCCCCCCCCGAAAAAAGAAAATATTAATTCCCATAATTTCCTTGATAAGGAAGGCTCCTTTTTTTTTTTGGGGGGGGGGGGGGAGAGATTCTTAAGCAAATCTGAAGCAAATAGCAGAAGCCCGAAACCCTGAGACCTATCACCCACAGCCTGAACCCTAAACAAAAGGAAGCTGAAAAAGCTGGAAACGACCTAAACCCTGAACCCTAGACCCTAGACCCTAAACCCTAAACAATAAACCCTACACGCTAAACCCTAGGGTTTCAGGTTTTGGGTTGAGGCTTCAGGGGTTAGACATGACGTCAAGGAGCCTTATACGAAGGAACCATCGAAGTTTGGGATGCTCATTTCAACAATTGGGGTTTAGGGTTTAGGGGTTAGGGTTTAGGGTTTAGGGTTTAGGGTTTAGGGTCCAGGGTCAGGGCAAAGGGAGCAATAAACCACAAGCCTTGCAAACGCTAAACCTCATCAACCCCCCAGGACCCCAAGCCAGAAACCCCAACCCGGAAACCCTAAATCCTAAACCCTAAACCCTAAACCCTAAACCCCCCCAAACCAGGTGCAGGTCTACGAGGCCTGGGATTCCTGGAAGACCCGTGGCGGCTCTCTGCAGATGGCCCCTCGCAGGAATCCGAAGCCTGGGTTTAGGGTTTAGGGTTTAGGGTTTAGGGTTCAGGGTTCAGGGTTCAGGGTTTAGGGTTTAGGGTTTAGGGCTAGGGCTTAATCATGTTCAGGGTTTAGGGGTTCAGGGGCTCAGGATGTAAGGCTTAGAGTCTTAGAGACTACATCCCTAAGCCTGGAACTTGGGATGTGCCCCTTATACTAACAGTCTTAGGGTTTATAAGAGGGGGTACTAGAATCCCTTTGAAGGACTGTGAGTAAAACGGGGAACATCCCAATAACCCCGAAACCGTTTGGGGTCGAGGGCTGGGTGGTCAGAGGCTTTGAGGTCTCCAGCTTGAGGGTTGGTTCAGGGTTTTGGGTTCAGGGTTGGACCAAACCTAAAGCCACCAATAGTGGTTTATCTCAGGAGGCTTTGAGTCCTAGTGTAGTTGCGTGGCGCCTTCATATGGTCCCGTACCTTCTCTACAGAGATTTTGGAGTATGGGCCCTTCGGTTTTACAGACGAACCCTAAATCCCAAACCCTAAACCCTAAACCCTCAACCCTAAACGCTGGGAGTCCCACACCCCAAAAACGCTTTGAGGTTTGGCCTGGGGCCATGGGCTTAGAAGCATTTGCTGCTTAGGAGGCTTTAGGATTCGTCGATACGAAGGCCCTTGGTCGCCCCTTGGGACATGTTATAGTTTCCCTCAGGGTTTAACCGGAGCATAGTTAGGAATATTTTTCAGAGGGTCTTAAGGGCCATCCTAGATTTTGTCTTGGAGATTTTGTTTTCGTGTTTTTATTTTCCTTGTCTCTTCCCTTCTTCCGTTTCCTGGACTCGCTCTCTCTCTCTCTCTCTTCTCTCTCTTCTCTCTCTTCTCTCTCTTCTCTCTCTTCTCTCTCTTCTCTCTCTTCTCTCTCTTCTCTCTCTTCTCTCTCTCTCTCTCTCTTCTTCTCTTTATCTCTCTCACCCTAAACCCGCAACCCCAAACCATCCATCTCACTGTCACAGATCTAGGACTTTTCAACTGCAACTGCATCGCCTTCTGGGATCTTGCGATTTTTACCCGACCCCCCACAAATTGCTGACCCCTAGCTTTCGAAGCCCCATCTTCCCTAAAGAGGGTTTAGGGTTTAGGGTTTAGGGTTTAGGGTTTAGGACTTGCCGACTTGCCGACTTGCCGACTTGCCCAAATCAGGCCCAGGGTGGGAAGATCCTACATCGCCTTGGCCTGGGTGAGGCGCTGGAGGCGGCGGCTGTTGCTTAATTTCGGATTCAACCCTAAACCCGAAACCATAAACCCCAAGCCCTAAACCCTTATATAACCCTAAACCACATCATGGAGTGCCCGAAAGCCATCTTTGACACCTTTTGTGGCAAGTGTTGCGTTTCGGGTTTAGGGTTTGGGGTTTAGGACCTGACTCCGGAAGTGTACAAAAAGTGGAGCCTCTTCATTCGGTTAGGGCTTTGTCTTGCGTAAACCTTAAGCCCCAAGCCCTAGACCTTAAGCCCTACTCAGTAGTGCCCTTATTCGCTTTTGGGGAGGGCGAGAGGGTTCAGGTTTTAAACCCTTCCGAGGTTGGAGCCTCTTTCTAGGGTTTTGGGGGCTTTCGGGTCGTCTGGTCGTCAAGCTGTTGGACAGCTTCTAGGTCTTTTGAGAGTTCTTGTTACCGAATTTAGGTTAAGCTGCCAGAATCAAGATACCTAACTACTAGACTTTAGGGGATAGGCCTTAACCAATCTAAGGGAAGTTACATTGTCTCTTAGCATACATCTCCCTTACCTCCTTTAAAGGTTTCTGAAGTATAGGCCCTTGGGTTGTATGGGGCATGTAAGGGGTCCCCTTTTAAGGGCCCATATGAAGGGGCCATGCAGCCAACCCAAAGAACCAACAAAATCTGCCGGCGCAGACCAACCCTCATCATGACTAAAGGCTTGAGATGGTCCCCCTCCTACTAGCAGTCCTTAATAGGGATTGTCGTACACCCCTATGATCATCCCCATTAAGGACTGTTAGCACACGGGGATAAACATCTCACCTTAAGGCCCACATGTGAAGACCGCGGGACTCTGGCATGAGCATCGGTCCCCGCTCCAAGGGCCTGGAGACACCAACTCACACACCTTTTGTCACCCACCCGAATGCCCTAAGACCCGAAACCCTCAGCCCTCAAACCCTAAACCCTAAACCCTAAACCCTAAACCCTAAACCCTAAACCCTAAACCCTAAACCCTAAACCCTAAACCCTAAACCCTAAACCCTAAAAACTTTGAAACCCTGAAAGCACCCCCGGCAATCCGAAGAGGCGAAGTCGAACGCCCCGAAGCAGTTGAAGTTCTTCTGTGAGGTGCAGCCTTGGAGCGATTTTGGGGAGAGTTTTAGAGTTTAGGGTTAGGGTTTAGGGTTTAGGGTTTAGGGTTTAGGGTTTAGGGTTTAGGGTTTAGGGTTTAGGGTTTAGGGTTTAGGGTTTAGGGTTTAGGGTTTAGGGTTTAGGGTTTAGGGTTTAGGGGAGGCGGGGGCTTGTGAAGATCCCTTAAAAGTTGCCCCCTGGGTTACCCATGGGACTATAAGAGAAGGCTTGGGAAAAATCGAGCTTCTAATGTTGAGAGTTCAGGATTCTGGGCTTAGTCAGATGTTTAGGTTTCAGGGTTTAGCATTTAGCACCCGAATCCCTAAGCCCTGAACCCCAAGCCCTAAACCCTAAACCCTAAACCCCAAACCCCAAACCCCAAACCCCAAGCCCTAAACCCCAAACCCCAAACCCCAAAACCCAAACCCCAAACCCCAAACCCTGAACCCTAAACCCTAAACCCTAAACCCTACCCACAGCCCTAAACCCTAAACCCCTTGCAGTTTTAGGGCTTAGTTCTTCTCACTTCTTGGATCCGAACTCCGAGGGCGAGCTCGTCACCTCTTCGGACGTGGACCCGGTCACGGGGCCGGGCCTGGTAGAGACTTTGTTGGGGTTTAGGGTTTAGGGTTTAGGGTTTAGGGTTTAGGGTTTAGGGTTTAGGGTTTAGGGTTTAGGGTTTAGGGTTTAGGGCGTTTATGTGTCTCAAGCTTCCCTAGGAATTGTTTTACCTGTTCTTCTTCATCCAAAACCCGGAACAGAACCTTTGCGCCATTATTTCTCGTAGGGCTCTAAGGGTGATGATGGCGTAGGTAGGACTCATCACTCGCTTTGGTGGCGCAAGGGTTTGTTAACAATTCCTGGACAAGGTGTATGAGTTAATTGCCAGCCGGGCCCCTTTTTGGGGTTCAGGTTGAGCGTTTCGGGTTTAGGAAATAGGGGGACAGCAGTGAATGTGCTGGCTGAGGTAAAGGGCCCCCGGACGGCCATGCGCAAGGACTTGCAAAGCATTCTTGTTGAGTCGATGCCGCCAGAATCTTGGACTTGGGAGTTTACGGTTTTAGGGTTTAGGTTGTAGGGTGTAGGGGTACGGGGTAGGGGGCCAGAGCGTGGTGGGGGTTTTGGGATTTAGTTGGTGTTCTGGTTCTTACGATTTGGGAGAAGGGTTTTTGGGCCTTGCCTTTGCATTCTGGAGACTCCTAAACCCTAAACCCTAAACCCTAAACCGTTTTAGGCCCAAACCCGGCCTTGCGCGACTTCACTATTTAAATGGTACCAAGATTGGGATGTCCCTCCCCCTATACTAACAGTCCTCCCTAGGGATTGGAGTACCCCCTGTTGGAGATCCCTCTTGAGGAGCTCATAGTATAAGGGTGAACATCCCAATAGCGAAACTTCCAGCCCCAAGGAGAAGGAGTCCAGGAAGGGCCCTTTAGGGTTTAGGGTTTAGGGTTTCGGGTTTAGGGTTTAGGGTACCAGGAAGCTTGGATGTTCCCCCTTATACTAACAGTCCTTAGTAGGGATTATAGTACATAGTGCCCCTTATTGTAATCCCTATTGCGGACTGTTACCTGGAGGTTCATGGGTACTTACAACCCCAATTGTAAGTCTACTTAGAACCTACTTAGGGGACTTAGGAGGCTTGTAAGTGCAGTTCTAACTGGGGTTATAAGTACCCTAAACCCTAAACCCTAAGCCCTAAACCCTAAATCTTAAACCCTAAACCCTAAACCCTACAGTTATACTTCGCTATAAGTACACTGAGCCTCCAAGTAATAGAAGGGCGAACATCCCAACCCTAAACCCTAAACCCTAAACCCTAAACCCTAAACCCGAAACCCTAAACCCTAAACCCTAAACCCTAAACCCTAAACCCTAAACCCTAAACCCTAAACCCTAAACCCTAAACCCTAAACCAGGAAGTGTTCAAGCTGGGCCACAAGCTGGAAGAGATCGCGGAGAATAGAGACGGCGCCTTGGCATCCTTATCCCGAAACACTATAGGGTTTAGGGTTTAGGGTTTAGTGTTTAGGGTTTAGGGGACAAGACTCCAACCCTACTAGCCCTACAGACCTCTGTAAGAAGCCTTTGCGAGACCCCTATAGTATGCCCTAGAGATTCCAACGGGAACCTATACAAAAGGTTTCGGGGTATAAGCTCGCGAAAGCCCACAAACCCCAAAAGCCCCAGAAAAAGCCGAGAAACACCGTAAGCCCTCGCTGAATCAGGATTTATGGGTTCGGGATTGAGGGTTTAGATTTTAGGGTTTAGGGTTTAGGGTTTACGGGTTTAGGGTTTAGGGTCTGGGGTTTAGGGTTTAGGGTCTAGACTTTAGGGTTTAGGGTTTAGGGCTGGTTCGGGGTCTCGTTTTTTTTTTTAGCGTTCCCCAGGTGTCTTGCTTAAGTTCGAGAACGGGGAGACCGGCACGGCGGACGTCGTGATCGCTGCCGACGGCATCCACAGTGTGGTGAAGAAGAAGATTTTCAATGCGTGGTGGCCCAGTGGTACCCTTTCTTTGCTTCTTGTTGCTTACAAGATCTTACAAGATTAGGCTTTTCAGGAAGCATATTTCCCCCAAAACAGGAAAAATCATCCCTATATTGCCCTTCGGAGGAAGAAGATATATGTATACATATATATATATATATTTTTGTTTTAAGGCTCAGGGCCCTGAGTTGTGCTGCTTTAATCCCTTCCCCCTAATACTAAAACCCTCCCCCCCCCTCCCTAATTCTGAAATTCGCCTGGGCCCGAAAAATATTTTAAATTAGGGGGGGTCTAAATCCTAAAACCTGAATTCCGAACCATAATAATTCAACCCTCCAAGCCCTGAGCCCTGGATCCTAATCCTGTCAGGCTTGAGCCCTAAACCTTGAAACCCTAATGGCTCAACTCAAGGGCGAAGGCCCTGAACCGCTGGGTACCGGCAGGGTCCGGGAAAAATAATATTTAAAATTAGGGGGGGTTTTAGTATTAGGGGGAAGGGATTATTTGGGATGACTCATCAATCGCCCATCGGCCCAGGTTTTAGGGCTTAGGGTTGCGATAGAGCTACTGGGCTACCAAGGACGACAAGCCCGCGTACACGGGCTTCCGGATCCTGTACGCCCTTTGCTCGAAGCCTGTGAGGCCCGAGCCAGGTTTGCTGCAGATCAACTGGCGCCTTGGCCCTGGGAGACTTTGAGAGCCTTTTTTTGGTATTTGGTGGATGTAAGCCCTAAACCCTAGAGCCTAAACCCTAAACCCTAAACCCTAAAGCCTAAAGCCTAAACCCTAAACTCTAAACCCTAAACCCTAAACCCCAAACCCTAAACCCTTGCCTATGCACTCAAGCGCCTGAGGTATGAGTCTGGGGACAAAGGCTACCATGTCATGGACTGGACGGCTGGTGCAGGCCACTTGTAAGCTTCTTGAAAGGGGGTTTAGGGTTTAGGGTCCGCAACCCCAAACCTTGAACCCTAAAAAACCCCTAAATCCGAAACCCCAAACCCCAAACCCCAAACCCCAAACCCCTAAACCCCTAAACCCTAAACCCTAAAAACCCCAAACCCCCCACAAGAATCATGATCCCCGAATCCGAAACCCTAAATTGGGGTTCAGGGTTTGGGGGTATATGGTTTAGGGCTCAAGACCCTAAACCCTAAACCCTAAACTCTAAACCCTAAACTCTAAACCCTAAACCCTAAACCCTAAACCCTAAACCCCGCCAAGCCCCAAAGCCGTCAGGTGAGGGCCGCCACGACGCACACCTCCTGGCCTTCCGCAGCGATGAGCTCGTCAGCGAGAAGCGGCCCGGTAGGGTTTAGGGTTTAGGGTTTAGGGTTTAGGGTTTAGGGTTTAGGGTTTAGGGTTTAGTGTTTAGGGTTTAGGGTTCAGGGTTTATAGAAATTGTATCGGGTTTGGGTCCCAACAACGTTTTGAGCGAAACGGTTTGAGCGAGAGTTGTTTTAGAACAAGGTGTTTTGGGGTAGAAACGCCCCAGCAGAGGCTTAAGTAAATTGAGCAGTTGCCCTCCCGGAAATGTTTTGGATAAAATATTCTTAAAGTCGGCTGGTCACTGTTTAGACAAATAACTTGGGAATGATACCACATACATGTTTTATCTATTTTGCCTTGAGGGAATAAGGAGTAGGGTTTGGGGTTTAGGACTTGCGGCTTAGGGTTTAGGGTTTAGGGTTTAGGGTTTGGGGAGTAGGCTTTAGGGTTTAGGGCTTACGGCTTAGGGTTTGGGATATTGCTTTCGCTGTTTAGGGTTTAGGGTCTAACCTTACACCAGAATTCCTACTCGACAGGCGCTTGGGCCTTTTCATATTTTCCCTAAACCCTAAACCCTAAACCCTAAGCCCTAAACCCTTCTATATTTTCCCCGATTGGGTTCAAGAGGGTCATATTCAGGAAATATTTTTCAGAGGGTTCTAATTCAGGGCCATCCTAGCTTGCCTGCTTCTGTGTCGTTTAAGGGTTAGGGTTTAGGGTTTAGGGTTTAGGGTTTAGGTTTTAGGGTTTAGGGTTTAGGGTTTAGGGTTTAGGGTTTAGGGATCTTGCCTTGAAGTAGTTTTCGGAGTGCCCGTGGCCGACCGAGATGGGACTCCACCATCGTCAAAGACAAGATGAAGGATGCATGCCCTGGTGGGGGTTTAGGGTTAATGTTTAGGGTTTCGGGTTTCGGGTTTAGGGTTCAGGGTTTAGGGTTTAGGGTTTAGGGTTTATGTTTAGGGTTTAGGGTTTAGGGTTTCGGGTTTAGGGTTTGGGGTGTTGCAAAAAAGTAGGTTTGGGTAGTCGCGGCCAAGGCTTGGAGGGGCGGGGTTAGGTGTTTAGGATCCAGTCGGGGGTTCAAGCATTGTGGATTAGGATGACTGGTTTGGTGTTTGGGGCTCAGTGTTAGTCTTAGCCAGGGTTTGAGAGGGGGGGGTGGGGGGGGGGGTTGGCGTATCGGTTGAAGGCCCAAGCCTCTATACACTGGACCTTCGTCAGACTTCAGCCCTGACGCCTAAGTAATAGATGTTCTCTTCTCATGTCTCTTCTTGTTCTCATCTCTATACAACTTCAATTGCCAAAGTACCAACCGTGATGAAGTAGGCCTCTAAACCTTAAAGCTGAACTAGCGAAAGGCCTAAACTCCAAACCCTAAACCCGAAACCCTGAACCTCGTCATCTTCTAGGGTTCAGGGTTTATTGAGCCTGTCTTTAGGGTGGTTTGGAGTTCAGAGGTTAGGTTGTAGGGTTTTTAACCCTCAACTTTAGCCCTAAACCCTAAACCCTAGGCTTTAGGTGCCTTGAGAGGCCGTGTGTTCAGGGGTTTAGGGTTTAGGGTTTAGGGTTTAGGGTTTAGGGTTTAGGGTTTAGGCCTTTTCGGCTGGCTTGAGCCCCTAGAGACAATGATTACTTTTCAGAGTGCCCTGTTATCTACTTGGTAGCCCAGTGGTACCCTTTACACTTTTTTTGGTTCAAGGTTCCCTTATAAAGCAACCAACCCCAAAAAAAGGGTGCCCTTATTGTAATATGGTTACTGGGCTACTAAGTATAACAGGGGCGCTAAGTTAGAGAACGACCACAGTGGAAAGCCAACCCCAACGCACCAAAGCTGCCTGGCTTCGTCGGGAATGTGGGCATGAGGTACCCTACATCCCCCTACATGCCCTTTAAGGCATGATACAGGGCATATACCCCGTTCCTCCTTTTGCTACGAAGAACCAGGGGGAAAGGCCCCTGAACCCTACACCCTAAACCCTAAACCCTAAACCCTAAACCCTAAACCCTAAACCCTAAACCCTAAACCCTAAACCCTAAACCCTAAACCCTAAACGGCAAAGGACTTGACCGAAGCTGTCCTGTCCAAGCATCCCACGCTCGCTGCCGCCATCGATTCCGCGGACATCTGCTTTGACTGGGGTACCTTATTTGGGTCCTAGGGTTTGGGGTTTAGGGTTTAGGGTTTAGGGTTCAGGGTTTAGGGTTTAGGGTTTAGGGTTTAGGGGTAGGGTTTCAGGGCTTAGGGTTTTAGGGATTCAGGGTGCCTGCGCTGGATGTGAGGGTTTCCTACATTAGGGGTACCTTACTGGATCTTACTGGGGGTTCTTATTATAGGGGAACCCTACTATTTCGGGGACTGTTTTCGGGGTCCTGTATTTTCGTACGTCCCCATGTGGGGCTTAGGGTTTAGGGTTCGAGGGGATTTTCGTGCCTGCGGAACCAAGAGGTCTACTTGGCTCAGTTATCTCAAGACCCCAAAAAAACGGCCCGCCTAAACCCTAAACCCTAAACCCTAAACCCCAAACCCCAAACCCCAAACCCTAAACCCTAAACCCTAAACCCTAAACTCGGTCTCTTGCTAGGCATCTACTCACAGCCGAAGCTGAAGTCGTGGATATCGCCTCTTGGGCGAGTCGTGCTACTTGGCGACGCGGCCCACGCGACGGCCCCCTTTATGGGACAGGGGGCCAACATGGCTATGGAAGATGGCTGGATGTTGGGCAACTCTTTGGGGTACTTGGAAATACATTTTTAATTTTTTGGGTACTATAATTCCAAAGAAACAGCAAAAATGATAATTTTTGCTGGGGTTCCGAGTTCAGTATAGAACTATGGTCTCCTGATATGGGAACTTTGTTTCATGTTTGTTGCTGTGAAAGTCAATAGGAGATCCATTTAAGTGTTCTTCTAATGTTAAGGGAGTCAAGGTAAGATCCTCTTGAACGTGAAGCCGGATGGCTTCTCCCTGGACGAGGCCTTGAAACTCTACGAATTCAAGCGCTTGGCTCACTGCGAGGGCATTGTCAGCAAGAGCTCCATGATTGGCGGCATGAAGCTGGGTTGTGCTTGGGGTAAGGATTTTAACTCTCCCTTCTTCCCGTCATAGACCCGAAACCCTATTAACCTTTGAGCCCGTAAACCCTAAACCCTAATTGAACCCTAAACCCCAAGCCCTAAACCCACAACTCAGGAATACCTCCACTGGTTTGAAGGCGCGGTTTCGGAACTTCGTCTTGCCCTTCATGATGAAGAAGACGCCAGACCTTCTTCGGAATCCGCTTTAAGGTTGAGCGGCTGTATACTGAGTAACCCAAGCACTTTATAAATAAATAAATATGTATGTATACAAATATAGTCCAATATAAATATATGAATATATGAATATATGAATATATGAATATATGAATATATGAAAAAATATATATATATATACATATTTGTTTGTTCGTATTTACATCTATTTACACACACATATATATATACACATGAATCCATGCTTGTTCATTTTTAAGTTTTGCAGCACACACACACACAAATTAGCATTCATCTGGTCTGCACATTGTACATAGCTTTCAATACGTAATGTATAATGTGATACATCGCACACATAACGATTAACAAAAAAACACAGGCGGACGAACACACATTACTTAAAACACAATGACATATGTATATACATACCTTTATATAGATATATACAGACATATATATATATATATACATATGTATATATGGTGTCCAATGTGCAGCGTTGAAATGACGATGTGCAACTGTAGAAATATAAACAATTAAGTAAATAATAAGTATAACTAAGCACATATATATATATATACATAACGTATAGCAGACGCATGCATATATATATATATATATATATATATATATGAGAGAGAGAGAGAGAGAGAAAAAGAAAGGTAGAAGGACCTTGCATATGGCATGTAACATTCACAGCATGGTATGTAGCAAAATAGACAGCTTAAAACACTACGTACGCATAATTTATGGTTAGGAGGATTTATGTGACACAACATATATATATATATATATATCATGTGCGACGCAACATTCCCTACTATATGCAGCACACACTCATTTACATACATGAGCAAGTAGATAGATACATATATATATATAAATTACACTAACGTAAATATGCACAAAATTAAACATACATATAGACATAAATGTAAACAATATACATATATACACACACATTCTTAGAGACATACCTATTTTCATTAGTTTCTCATGCCTTTCAAGATATGCAGAGCTGAGGATGCAGGCAGACCTCTGGGTCGACCCCACCGAGGAAGATCCCTGTGCCTAGGTGGGCCCTTGGGATATTTTACAGGGTTTAGGGTTTAGGGTTTAGGGTTTAGGGTTTAGGGTTTAGGGTTTAGGGTTTAGGGTTTAGGGTTTAGGGTTTAGGCTTCCCTCCTTGGGTTTAAGAGGAACATACTCAGGAATTTTTTTTGAGAGGGTCTTCTGGGCCATCCTAGGTGCAAGCCCCGGGTTTTTCGAGTCCCTGGGTGCCAAGCTGGGCCTCCGCTGAGGGGACTCCGGGGGGCCGGGCCCCTGCAGGGTTTAGGGTTTAGGGTTTAGGGTTTGGGGTTTGGGGTTTAGGGTTTAGGGTTTAGGGTTTGGGGTTTGGGGTTTGGGGTTTAGGGATTTGGGGCGCTCCTCGGGAGGGAGCCTGTGGGGGCTGATCTGCACCACGGGCCCTCTTTGAGCATCTTAACTTAAACAGCGAAATATTTGTAAAATAAACATGTCAGCATACATATATAATAATAATATTAGTAAGAATAATAATAGTAATAAGAATAGTAACAATAATAATAGCAATATACACATGTAACCTTAAACCCTAAACGGTACTTCTAGTGCAAGTATAGCATAAACCCCCCCAAAAGGGCCAAGAATTGAGATCAACCCCCATTGCGCGACTTTTCAGAGCTCATGTTCACTCCTGAAAGGAGCGAGTGCGCGAACAGCGCATTGCCAATGGTGGCTAAGGGTTTGTTGGGCCCGGGACCCACCAACTAAGAGGGACTAAAGGAAGGACCCTAACAAGGGACCTTAGGGGTTCTTTGGGGCTACAAAAACTATATATAGGGGTTATGGGATAAGACCAAAGGTCCCTTCTAGGGGTCCCTCCTTAGACCCTCAGACCAAGCTGTCCAAAGAGGGCAGTGGTGGCAGTGCCACGCGCTGAGTCAACAATTGCGAGCCTCTCAGTCGTCGACAAATACACTGAAAACATGTTGCGCAGTCCTGAGCCCTAAACCCCAAACCCTAAACCCTTCTGAAAACCCTAAACCCTGCACCCTGAACCCCAGGCCTAAACCCCAAACCCCAAACCCTAAACCCCCTAAGGAACTTCAAACGCGTAGGCCGCATCTGACGGTGCTGTCAAAGCTCATTCACCGGCAACTGCAGGGTTTAGGGTTCTTTCTGTAGTTCGGTTTATGTCTTGAGGGATTAGCCCTAAACCCTAAACCCTAAACCCTAAACCCTAAACCCTAAACCCTAAACCCTAAACCCTAAACCCTAGACCCTAAACCCTAAACCCTAAGCTCAATTGAGCCCATCAGCTCTTGGTTCGCCCCTTGGTTTGGGTGGGCTTGCATGGAGGCAGGGGGGTAAGGGGTTAGGGTTTAAGGTTTTAGGGTTTGAGCGGGTTTGGGGGTTAATTCCAGGGCTCAGGGTTGTTGTGTAAGGGTTTCTATGACCAAAGCTACTCCTGCACCAATGAAAAAAGTGTTTACACCCCTGTCCCTCATCCTCGGCAACCGCCTGCCTAAACCCTAAACCCTGAACCCTAAACCCCAAACCCCAAACCCTAAACCCCCAAACCCCAAACCCCGAACCCGAAACACCCCTTCAAACCCCACGGAGCCGAATCCAATGCGCTAAGGACCAGTCTCTGGCGTCGCTTGACTTGCGCTATGAGATCTTGGGGTGAAGGGATTTGGGGGTTCAGGGGTTTGGGGTTGGGATGCCCCCCTTGTGCTAACAGTCCTTAGTAGGGATCACAGTACCTCCTACTAAACCCCCCTATGAAGGACTGCTAGTGCAAGGGGAACATCGGGTTCAGGGGTTTGGGGTTTAGAGGTTTCGAGGGTTTGTGGTTTAGTGCTTTGTGGTTTGGGGTTAAGGTGACTGTGTATATACATACATATTTATATACACATGAATAATATACATATATATATATATATGTATGTATGTATATATATATATATATATATATGTATATGTATATATATATATGTATATATATATATGTATATATATATGTATATATATATATGTATATATGTATATGTGTATATTAGTATATATCTATGTATATGCTAGCTACTAAAACAATCATGACTGACCGAAAAATACCTTATATCCGTATATCCTGCAGAAACCTTCAGCGTCAAGACTGAGCCCCAGCCGGGGCCCCTAAGTTAGGGCCGTAAGTACAGTCCAATCCTTAGTGGGGTTTAGGGTTTAGGGTTTTGGGATTAAACCCTAAGCCAGTGGGGACTCCATGGAGGTTTGGGAAGACATGACTGCTTTAGGCCTGCAGGTTGAGGGACCTTCTAATATTTCCAAACCCTCCAAACCCTAGGCTCTACAAATCCTAAGAACTGTACGAACCGGTTGATAAGTCAACCCTCTAAACCCTGTAAACCCCCTAAACTTTCTAAGCCCTCTAAACCCTCTAGGTCCTACAAACCCTCTGAACCCTCTAAACCCCCCTGAACCTTCTCAACCCCAGCCTAAGCCCTAAACCCTAAACCCTAAACCCTAAACCCTAAACCCTAAACCCCGCAGGCCACGATGGAGAACACCTCGGCCATTCTCGGTGACTTCATCGGCGGCGTGACACTGACTGGCAGCCTCATCGCCTTCGGCAAGCTGAATGGAAACCTCAGCCACTTGGGGAGCTTAGGGTTTAGGGTTTAGGTTTTTGGGTTGGCTTGGGGTTTAGGTTTTTTTGGCTTTGGGTTCAGGGTTTAGTGTTTAGGAAAATTTGGTTGCGAGATAGCACCTAGAGGTTTAGGACCTTTTTGTTGTATGTTGGGTCCTCTGCACTGGAGGGGCAGGGGTGGGGGTTGGGACCTAAGCTTGTCAACCAACCCCCCCCCCCCCCCCCGCCAAACCCGACTGCCGGAGCAGAGAGTCTAAAACCCTTTTGGCCCTTCAGGCTTTCTTAAGGATCTCACCAAATTCAACTGCTTCCTCACCCTCGCATCATGCCTCTAAACCCTCAACCCTAAACCCCATTCCGGACCCATGAATCCTCCTTCAGGGCTTAGGGCTTAGCAAGGAGATGCTGAGGAGCAGGCCGTTTTTGTTTCTATATTGGTTTGGGGAGGGTTTAGGCTGTACCCAAAGCCTGAAAAGCCGGGCTTAAACCTAAGAGATGCTCCCACCAAGCCACAAGCCGCTCAGGGTCCAGCCTCCCTAAACCCTAAACCCTAAACCCTAAACCCTGAGCCCTCTTCTTTAAGTTCGGCTCGGGGGGGTACACCCCAGACGTTTAGGATTCGTCAGGGTTTGGGAGGGTTCGGGCTTATAGCTGACATGCAGCATGGATGGGGTGGAAAGCCTTCTACCGGGTTTAGGGTTGGATGTAACTGAAACACGGCTTGGAAACACCTGCCGACGTTGGACCTGGCCTAAGCTCCAAACCCTAACCGCACTAACCCCCAAACCCCAAACCCCAAACCCCAAACCCCAAACCCCAAACCCCAAACCCCAAACCCCAAACCCCAAACCCCAAACCCCAAACCCTACCCCAGGTTCGAAAGAGCTGTCCCTGCCGGGAAAGAACTACCTGAACCTCTTCGGGCTCTTCCTGCAGCTTGGACGCGGCTGAGCCCCGGACCGTAAACCTACACAACCCTGGGGCCCTAAGACGGTTTAGAGTTCAGGTCTTCAACTCCGGAAATGCATGTCCAACTGTAGGGTTTAGGGTTTAGGGTTTGGGGTTTAGCGTTTAGGTTTAGGGTTTGGGGTAGCGGGGGGTGAAGCCCTGCATAATGAGCTTCGCCACGGAGGTTCATCTCCCTGATGTACCTCTTCCTGCAGCCAGGCCCGGAAAAGAAAGGGGGAGTTAAGGGCTTAGGGCTTAGTTTCGCCCGTAGGGTTCAGGGTTTAGGGTTTAGGGTTTAGGGTTTAGGGTTTAGGGTTTAGGGTTTAGGGTTTAGGGTTTAGGGTTTAGGGTTTCGGCGTTAACAGTGAAGGCTGGAACTATGGGCCCTCAGTGTAGCGTGGCGTATCCTAAGCTCTAAGCCCTAAACCCTAACCCTGCACCCTGAGAGGGGCTGCCAGCATCCCTAAAACCCTAAAACCCTAAAACCCTAAACCCCTAAAACCCCAAAACCCCTAAAACCCTAAACCCCTAAACCCCTAAAACCCCAAAACCCCTAAAACCCCAAAACCCTAAAACCCTAAAACCCTAAAACCCTAAAACCCTAAAACCCTTAAACCCTAAAACCCTAAACCCTAAAACCCTAAACCCTAAACCCTAAACCCGAACCCCTAAACCCTAAAACCCTAAACCCGAAACCCCTGAGAGGCTGCGAGCATGGCATCCTTAACCTCTGGATCGTCGCGGCCCTGGCCTGCCTCATGGGGCTCCACTTGGTGGCCAGCGTGGGCGGTGGCGACATGCACCCTGGCCCCAAGCTTTGCTGAGGGGTTTAGGGTTTAGGGTGTTGGTGGTAGGGTTTGGGGTTTAGGGTTTAGGGTTCAGGGTTCAGGGTTTGGGGTTTAGGGTTTAGGGTTTCGGGTTTAGGGTTTAGGGTTTAGGGCTACGTCGATTTTAGGGTAGACGGCACTTGCCCGTCTTTGGGTTGAGTCCTCGCCCTACCCCAAACCCTGAGCCCGAAGAGCAAAAGGGCTCCTAAAACAGGCCCAAGAGGCCTACAGGGTTTTTACAGGGGGATCCTAAAGGGGTTCCACACCCCAAACTCAAAAACCTACACCCTTTTAGGGTTAGGGTTTGGGGTTTAAGGTTCGAGGAGAACCCCCAAAACCCCCGCCAAAACGTCGTTTAACCCCCCACACCTGCCTCAGCCTTGGGGTTGGGATGTAGGGTGGGTTTAGGGCTTGTGTAGGGGGTTCTGAGGTCTTCGGGTTGCTATACATGTTGCGGCCCTTCGTTGTTATGCCTAACAAAGCTACCAGAACACAGGCCCCACAGGGAACTCCAATTCAGCAGAACGCCCCTATGATAGCCAGGGGCTCCCATTTTCAGGGAGTGTCCTTCAACTATGTTAGGGATCCTGAACGTGATCTCCCGAAAAAGTCTCTTCTAACCATGTGGCGTTGGTGTCCTCAACCCTAACAGCCCTAAACCCGACATCTCTAAACCCTAAACCCTAAACCCTAATTAAACCCTAAACCCTAAACCTTAGACAGACCCTAAACCCTAAACCCTAAACCCTAAACCTTAAACACTTCCTCCCAATGAGGCCCGTGTGCATCACGGTGCTGAACTCCTACTCCGGCTGGGCTCTTGTGGCCGAGGCGAGGGTTTAGGGTTTAGGGTTTAGGGTTTAGGGTTTAGGGTTTAGGGTTTAGGGTTTAGGGTTTAGGGTTTAGGGTTTAGGGTTTAGGGTTTAGGGACTTGCCGGAGACCCTGACGCCCGAAATCCCTTGCGTTCGAACCCAAACCAGTCTAGAAGCCGTACACTATATCCCCTTGGGAATTAATTTTTCATTTTCGTTTCAATACAATAAAACCCAACAGGATATTAAAAATGATATGTTTATTAAGGTTCTAAGGGGAGTATAGTACAAAGCCCCAAAACAAAGGCCTGCAAGCCGTGTAAGTCCAAACCCCTACACCCCACACCCTAAACCCGAAGAAGCCCAAGCCCTATAAACCCTATGAACCCTGTAAACCAAGTTAGCCCCATAAACCCTAAACCCCCCAAACCTCCTAAACCCCTAAACCTCGTAAACCCCCTAAACCCCAAACCCCCTACAAGCCCCAACACCACAAACCCTGAGCCCTGAACCCTAAACCCTAAGCCTAAACCCTATAGGCCCCCCTCTCCCCCCTTAAAAAAGCAAAAAAAAAAAAACACCTTAAAAAGCTCAAACGTGCCAGGGCTTCCTGCTGGACAGCAATGTGCTTACCATCGTGGGCTCCCTGATCGGCTTCTCAGGACGCCACCCTTCCTTTAGGATGTGTTGGGGCTTTAGGCTTTAGGGTTTTTGAGGCTTCTTTTTGGTCTTTAAGTTTTTTTGTTTTGGGAGGGTGGGGGGGGGAGGGAGGGCTTCAGGGTTCCAGGCTCTTGTGTCCTTTTTTTTCTTGGGTGGGGGCGGAGGTGTTTTTTTGGATTTAGGGTTTTATGGTTTCAGGGATTTTGTTTAACGGTTTTGGCGTTTTAGGTTTTGTGGCTTTACAACAAGGGCTCAGGGTGGAGGTTTAAGCAGGGGCTTCACGCGGTTAGAGAGATGTTTTTGTGGGGGGTGGACGTTCAGTGGGTCGTTTCAGGGTTTAAGTTCTCAGGGTGGCTTGAGGTATTCTAGGGTGCTTAGTTGATTTTAGGTGTGCCTCATGGTTTTAGGTTGTTCGGATGCTGGTCAAGGGTCTGACGGGTTGGGGAATTGTGTTAAACCCAAAACCCTACACCAAACCCTAAACCCTAGAAAGCCTCATGGGGCTTGAGGCGTTTACGGAGTTTTGCGGGGTGCAGGATTCAGGGGCTTCCGAAGGGTACGAGTTGCGGCCAACCCAATGGATGCCAAGGGAGTTGTTGAGGGGAGGGTTGCAGGGTATAGGTTTTAGTTGGGGGCTTATGGAAGTTTAGGGTTCAGGGTTTAGGGTTTAGGGTTTAGGGTTTAGGGTTTAGGGTTTAGGGTTTAGGGCACCAAAAAGCCGGTTTAAGGGTGTAGCGTTGGGACCCCGCCTTTGACGATGCCACAGCTGGGAGCCCCCAGCGTCGCGGACGGGTGCCAGGAGCCATCCTCACCAAGATCATGTGCGATGCGATGAGCCTGGTTTAGGGTTTTAGGGTACAGGGTTTAGGGTTTTAGGGTACAGGGTTTTAGGGTACAGGGTTTAGGGTTTTAGGGTACAGGGTTTGGAGTTTTAGGGTACAGGGTTTAGGGTTTTAGGGTACAGGGTTTAGGGTTTTAGGGTACAGGGTTTAGGGTTTTAGGGTACAGGGTTTAGGGTTTTAGGGTACAGGGTTTAGGGTTTCAGGGTACAGGGTTTAGGGTTTTAGGGTACAGGGTTTAGGGTTTTAGGGTACAGGGTTTAGGGTTTAGGACTCCAATTTGGGGCTCGGAGTAAGTACTAAGAGTACTCCCTTATGGTTTAGGGGTCCTCCCAAACATACCCCGAACCTAAAGCCCTTCACGGCAGGCCCCCCGAGAGTACCCTATACCCTAAACCCTAAACCCTAAACCCTAAACCCTTAACCCTCAACCCCTAAACCCTAAACCCTAAACCCTAAACCCTAAACCCTAAACCCTAAACCCTAAACCCTAAACCCTAAACCCTAAACCCTAAGGAACCGCGACATCTTCAACGTCCTCTTCGGCGGCCTGAACAACGCCCCGGTGGTGAAGGGCGCTGACGATGGCCCAAAGGCTGGGATCAGCTTCCCTGGCCACCCCCCCGTACCTCCACAAAGGGGCCCTACGTACCCTAAGCAGCCCTAAGCATCCGCTCTAAGCCCTCCTAAACCCTAAGGCCCTAAGGCCCTAAACCCTAAACCCTAGCACGTTTAGGGTTTGGGGCCGGGGTTTAGGGTTTAGGGTTTAGGTTTTTCGGTTTAGGGTATCGGGTTTGGGACGATACCGATGCGGCTTTCCCGGTGAGCCTGAGCCGCCAGGAGCATGTCGAATGCAACGTCGACCTCTGCGCTGAGATGCTCCTCGATCTAAGGGACGAAGAGAGGGACCCTTTTAAGGGACCTTAGGGTTTCTTAGGGGTTATTTAGGGGCTACTTAGGTGTGTGTGTGTATATATATGCATATAAGGTATATACAGGGCTTAAAGGAATACTGGGGTATGTAGGGACTATTGTGCTGAGATGCTGCTCGAATGGGCCCGACTTTAGGGTGCTTGGGAGTTCTAAGAGAAATAGGGTCTCAGGAGCCTCGTAGAAACAAACCCTAAACCCTAAACCCTAAACCCCAAACCCTAAACCCTTTACACCCACCAAGGCCCAAGTGCCTCTCATGCCATGCTGAGGCTGGTGAACGCGAAGGAGGTGCTGGTCGTGCCCGGTTACGGCGACCTTGCAGCGATCTTGGGGTTTGCCGGTTTAAAGGGTTTCAAGGGTTTGACGGGGTTTAGGGTTTAGGGTTTAGGGTTTACAGGGTTTACAGGGTTTACAGGGTTTAGGATTTACAGGGTTTAGGATTTTTAGGGTTAGGGTTGATGTTTAGGGTTTATAGGGTTTAACATTTTTTTTTTGGGTTTGAAGGGTTTTGGTTGGCTTGCTCCCATTTTACTAACAGTCCTTCATAGGGATTCTAGTTACCCCGGAATATAATCCCTATTAAGCACTGTTAGTATAAGGGGGAACATCTCAAGTTTCAAGGGTTTAGGGCTTCACGGTTTTTCGGGGTTTAAACCCTAAACCCTAAACCCTGAACCCTGAACCCTGAACCCTAAACCCTGAACCCTGAACCCCTGAACCCTGAACCCTGAACCTAAACCTAATCAGGGCCTTGGGGGAAAGTTTGAGAGGTTAGGGTTGACGGGTTTGAACCCCGTAAAAACTAATCGTGGTAGGACCCCAAGCCCCTAAGTCCCCACCTGAAAAGCCATTGGAGAAACAACGCAGCCCTAAACCCGAAACCCGAAAGGCGAAGCCCTAAACCTTAAACCCTAATCTCTAAACCCTAAACCGTAAACCCTAAACGCTAAACCCTAAACCCTAGACCCTAAACGCTAAACCCTAAACCCTAAACCCTAAACCTTAAACCCTAAACCCTAAACCCTATACCCTAAACCCTAAACCCTAAACCCTGAACCCTAAACCCGAAGTCGAGGCATGGCAATGGCGCGCGCCCAGACTCCCATGGGCGAGTTGGCCTCCATGCTGCGGAAGAACAACATCGTCCTCAAGCAGCTAGGTTTATATGAGGTTTAGGGTTTAGGGTTTGGTGTTTAGGGTTTAGGGGCTTAAGGTCTTAAGGGCTGAATTGCGGGCTTAAGGGCTTGAGGCTTTGCAGGTTTATGGCCTAGGAGGTCCGGAGTTGTTTTTTTTTGTTTGGAGTGTCTAGTCTATGGTTTAGGGTTTAGGGTCTAGGGTTTAGGGTTTAGGGTTTAGAGGGAGGCTTTGAATCCCAAACCCACCGTACCCCTCATAAGACACGCAAGGATTCGCGGCTTGAGGACCGACCTGTAGCTTTAAACCCTTGAAAGCCCTAAGCTCTCTGCCCTAAGCCCTAAACCCCAAACCCCAAACCCTAAGCCCTAAACCCTAAACCCCAAATCCTCAGCCCTAACCCTAAACCCTAAACCCTAGCCCTAAACCCTAAACCCCAAACCCTAAACCCCAAACCCCAAACCTTAAGGGGTTACGGGTTCTTAGGGCCTGGGGCTTCAGTTCGATGCAAAGTCCTACTTCTCCTTTGTGATACGGGCGCCGCCTCAACCCTCCATTTCCCAGTCCAAGAGCCCCACCGCCCCACATAGAAGTGGTGAGGTTTTAGGGTTTGGGGTTTAGGGTTTAGGGTTTAGGGTTTAGGGCTAGGGTTTAGGGTTTAGGGTTTAGGGCTTAGGATTTGGGACCAAGCCTGCTGGCAAGGTTCGGCGTCCACCCCGTCGCCGGACGCATGCCTGGCCAGATGAACGTGCTGCTGGCAGAGGCACCTGGATCAGAGGGTTTAGGGTTTAGGGGTTTAGGGTTTAGGGGTTTAGGGTTTAGGGTTTAGGGGTTTGGGGTTTAGGGTGTATGGTTTAGGGTTTAGGGTTTAGGGCTTAGGGGGGTTTAGGATTTTTTGTAGTGGTTTAGGGGTCAAGAGTGTAGGTGCTCATATCTGGTTCAGGATGCCCCCGAGCCTCAAACTGCCTCAAACCCCTACTTCCGCAACGCCCCTCTCCCTTCCCCCTCGACTGAACCCTAAACCTTACCGCACTAAACCCCAGAATATCTCAAGCCTAGAACCCGAAACCCGAAAACCCTGTATAATTATACTCCTAAACCCTAAACCGAAAAAGGAGCCCACAAACCCGAACTGCTAAACCCGTAACCCTAAAACCTAAACCCTAAACCCGAAACCGCAACAAGGCGGGCGTGCCCCACGAATGGGTGCTGGAGATGGACGAGGCGCGGTTGGGTTCAGGGTTCAGGGTTCAGGGTTCAGGGTTTAGGGTTTAGGGTTTAGGGTTTAGGGTTTAGGGTTTGGGGTTTGGGGTTTGGGGTTTGGGGTTTAGGGTTTAGGGTTTAGGGTTGGCGTTGATTCTGGGGCTCTTAAGGCAGGGGGGCTCAATGTGGGCATGTAACCCAAGGTTCCCGAATTCTCCCGACTACGCCCTAAGGCTCTCAAAGCTCCCCACTTGTCATGCCATTCAGACCCCAACATAGAAACCGTACCCTTCATCTCTCTCACTCTTATTCCACAGCCTTGTTCACCCATCACACCTTGAGACCAGACCTTTCATCTTGTTCATGCCCCAACATTGCTCACTGGATCACCCACTTGTTCACACATCCAGTCAACGCACCGTAAATAATAATACTAGTAATAATGACAATCATAATAATGATAATAAGAAGAAGAATAAAAATAATACGAATTGAATGAAAAAGCACGTTCCTAGCCTTTTATTCACTTCGCAGTATATTGTTAAGGGAGCACAGGACAAGAACACTACGAAGAGAACAACGTGAACGCACTAATAATGTCATTATAAGGATGAACGAAGAGAAGACGCGTGAATTACATTGTAAATGCAGTGAACGTGTGAACGAAACCCCAAAACCCTAAAACCCTAAAACCTCAAAACCCCAGAGCCCCAAAACCCACAACTGAAGCCCTACAAGGGTGGGGCTTTACGATATCAGGGTACCCTATTGGGGTCCTTTTTCCCAAACCCTAAACCCTAAACCCTAAACCCTAAACCCTAAACCCTAAACCCTAAACCCTAAACCCCTAAACCCTAAACCCTAAACCCTAAACCCTAAACCCTAAACCCTAAACCCTAAACCCTAAACCCTAAACCCTAAACCCTAAACCCCAGGTGAATCCCGACATGGAGAACTTCGATGTGGTTCTGGTCATGGGCGCCAACGACGTCGTGAACTCTGCGGCCCAGGAGGGTTGTAACAGACCCTAAACCCTAAACCCTAAACCCCAAACCCTAAACCCTAGGGGTTTAGGGTTTAGGCTTAGGGTTGGGGGTTTAGGGGGTTCAGGGGCAGGTTGCGCGCTGAGAAGCGTGCAGTTGTATGAAAACATGCCCACCCCAAGGCCTCCCAACACCAATCAAAACGAACCCAAGCCGGAGCCAGAACCCTAAACCCTAAACCCTAAGCCTTCAAATAAAGGTCTGTCACTCGCAAACTTTTGGATTGTCTTGTCGCTTGAGGCCAGAAGGCAAAGGATACCCCGCCCCCCCCCCCCCCCACCCGTAGGGTTGGGGTCTTCAGGATTGAAGGGTCTTGAGAGTTTAGGGTTTGTAGGTTGTAGGGTTTCGGAGGGTTTATCAACTTTAGCACGGTTTATTGGGTTCATAAAAATTTTGGCTTTGTAGGTTTTTTCGGGTTTAGCAGGGTTTAAGGCTTATAAGGTTTTGGCTATTAGGGCTTGTGGCTTCACAGGGTTTTGCGGTTGAGGGCTACTCGCTCTTGCCATGGGCGGCGGTGTAGGGTTCAGGGTCCAAGGTCTGTTCTGTCTCGTCTCACGAATCCCGGGGGTTCAGCCCAAACCCTGAACCCTGAACCCTAAACCCTAAACCCTAAACCCCACAAAAACCAAGCCCTGTTTGCACAGGAGTTGGAGGGCTGCGCCATTTGGGGCATGCCTGTTATCGAGGCCTGGCTCCCTCACGCATATGTAGATCGCCCAAGGTCCCCTTACTTCAAGGGTTTAGGGGTGGTTTAGGGTTGGGGTTTAGGGTCTAGGGTCTAGGGTTTAGGGTTTAGGGTTTAGGGTTTAGGGCTTAGGGCTTAGGGCTTAGGGCTTAGGGTTTAGGGTTTAGGCGCAGAGTTTTGTTAAGGTTTCGGGCTTCGGGGTTCGGGTTCCAGCTTAAGTGGCAGACGGAATGGTATGTCTTTACCTAGGGAAGACGGGGCCATCTCCACGCAAGTCTGGGGTCGTTTGGGCTTGAAGGGCTTGGCGGTTTTAGTGGTTTAAGGGTTGGGGGTTGTTGATTGTCGGCTGGGGGTTTCAGCCCCTGAGCCCAAAACCCGCTTGGGGCTAGGGGTTTAGCGGTGTAGGGTTGAGGTCTTCGGGCTTAGGGGGGCTTTAGCTTAGGATTCGGGGGATGTCCGAGCCTCACCCAACCCACCCCAGGTTTCGGGTCACAGGGGCTCAGGGCCTCAACCCTAGACCCTAAACCCTATAAACCCTAAACCCTAAGCCCTCGCAGGTCTGGCGGGCCAAGAAGGTCATCTTTTGCAAGCGCTCCATGGGTGGAGGCCAGGGTTTAGGGTTTAGGGTTTAGGGTTTAGGATTTAGGGTTTAGGGTTTAGGGTTTAGGGTTTAGGGAACCCTTGCTCTTTGGCCTGTGGGGTTAGGGTTTGATTCGGGTTCAGAACTCAGGCCTTCAGCACTGATTCTTCTCGTTCCCTGCATCTTAAGCAAGCCATTTGGGTTTAGAGGGTTTAGGGTTTAGGGTTTAGGGCTCTTCTTGTTCCCTGCGTCTTTAAGCAAGCCATTTGACCAGGACACCCAATGGCACCCTAACTCTGTTTTTGAAAAAGGGTTGAAAGTTTAAGGTTTAGGGTTGAGGGTTTTAGGCTTTCGTAAACAAAGATGCATTTAAACAACCCATGTGGAACCCTTGTTTCATTCCTAGGTTACTCGTAACCCTACACCCTCGAATCCGAAGCCCTAAGGCCTTTTTTTTCCGGCTTTTTCCGTAAGGCCTTTGTAATGTATTCTTAGCCCCGCCTTTCAGGGCTTCGGGGCTTCTGTCGGGCTGGCTTTTTAAGGTGGGTTCCCTAAGTTCGGGTCAAGCAGGGTTGAGGGCAATCAAGGGTAGTTAGCCTTAGTTCGCCTTAAGTAAGGCTTATAGGGGTTCAGGGCAACTAAGTTTAGTTGCCCTTAGCTTGCTTTAAGTAGAGAACCTGACCCTTGGTTATGTTGCGTGTGGGCGTGTGTGGGGGAAGGAGGATCCTCCCATGCAGGATATGCCGACCTTGACAACCCAGTCTTCTACAAGTCGAACACTGAAGCCCGGTGGCCGTAGTCTGGGTTTCGGAGTACTATACTTTGATAACTTTTTTTGGTTCTGGGTTCTATTTATACCTAAAAACGTATATAAATTTTGCCCAGGTTTTCCTTCAAAGTAGGGTAGTGAATCTTGATTTAGGGCAGGGTTTGGGGGGTTCAAGAGGTGGGTGGCTTGGGTTTTTTGTTGTCTGCGAGGCAAGGACGTGCTGCGGTGCTTGGTTGAGGTGGTGGTTTGGCAACCCTAAACTTTAAAACCCTAAACCCTAAACCCTAAACCCTAAACCCTAAACCCTAAACCCTAAACCCTAAACCCTAAACCCTAAACCCTAAACCCTAAGGCTAAGATCTCCCCTTGTCCTTCCCTAGGGCCACCCCTTCGTCCGTTGCGGTGCCCCGAAACCCTAAACCCTAAATACCCTAAGCCCTAAGCCCTAAGCCCTAAGCCCTAAGCCCTAAACCCTAAACCCTAAACCCTAAACCCTAAACCCTACCCTAAAGCCCTCAACGCCTTTGCGGCCTTCAGGCTTGGGGGGGCAACCTACCAGGTCTCAATCGGGAGTTAGAGAAAACAGGGGGGTTCGCTAAAATCCCCTTTTAAGCCCTTGGGCATTTTAATGGGAAGGTACCCCTAGTCCCCAAACCCCCCCATTCCCCTTTAAAGCAAACCTTTGAGGGATTTTAACTGGAAGGTACCCCTAGTCCCCAAACCCGCCATTCCAAAGCTAAAGCGCAAAGTTTTCGGAGGAAG